TACTGCTGTTGCTGCTGCTGCTGCTGATGATGATGTTACTGCTGTTGCTGCTGCTGCTGATTATGATGTTACTGCTGCTGCTGCTGCTGCTGCTGCTGCTGCTGCTGTTACTACTGCTGTTACGTGTTCTATGCACGTGATCTACACGTGATTTACACGTGATCTACACGTGATCTACACGTGATTTACACGTGATTTACAGGTGAACTACACGTGATTTACAGGTGATCTACACGTGATTTACACGTGATCTACACGTGATTTACACGTGATCTACACGTGATTTACACGTGATCTACACGTGATTTACACGTGATCTACACGTGATTTACACGTGATCTACACGTGATTTATACGTGATCTACACGTGATTTACACGTGATCTACACGTGATTTACACGTGATCTACACGTGATCTACACGTGATTTACACGTGATCTACACGTGATCTACACGTGATTTACACGTGATCTACACGTGATCTACACGTGATCTACACGTGATTTACACGTGATTTACACGTGATCTACACGTGATTTACACGTGATTTACACGTGATCTACACGTGATTTACACGTGATCTACACGTGATCTACACGTGATCTACACGTGATCGCGCACTTACCTAATCAGCATCGTGCGCAGTCGTGTGAAGTCGCAGTGTCGTGGGTTGTCCACCTCTACGATGCCCCACGGGTACAATCTCCCCCTCACCTTCTTCCCATTCACCTCTACCACCGTGTTGCTCCCGATCACAGCGAATGGAATGGCCTCCTAACGCACATAAAACAAACACGCGGACCATGAGTCGTACAACGAACGTTGACCTCCTAATGCATAAAAAACGCGTTATATATATATGTATATAATATATATGTACAGTAATAATGCATATAATACAAATAATAAAATAATAATATGTATGTGTGGGCTGTGGGTTGTGCGACGGACGTTGACCTGACGTGACCTGGCGCGACGTTGAACGTTCGCTTGTTACGGCCCTCCACCTGGCGAGGAGCAATGAAACTACCTCTTTTGTTAATACTGTGCTTTAATACCGTGAACTAGTATGGACATAGAGATCGCTGACGGCTGCACATTACCCCTGATAGCTGTCATATCCCCACCTCCCAGCTATCACATCCCGGGCTGTCGGAGAAAAGAACCAGAGTTAGAGGTGTTGTGTTTTATGAATTCTCTGCGCGTCCCTACCGACAATACAGAACGTTGCGTATACGCCGGTCGCTGTTTGAAGCAGTTAGGTGTGCTTTAACTCTATCCATCAGAGTATTGGGTGATACTCCATTAGGAGTGTTCCCAACTTTAATGTCATTAATAGTTATAATAACATATATATATATATGGTCATGGTCATATATTAGTTTGTGGTTTAATGTCATTTAGGTTAGGGTTAGGGTTAGGGTTAGGATTAGGATTATCAATCATTAATCATTAATCATTAATCATTAATCATTAATGATATCAAAGTTGCACGGGAACACTCCTAATGGAGCGTTAGCCAGAGTATTACACCTCCTAGAGCAAAGGAACCATCAACGGGAGCAAAATAAATGGAGCGCATTCGCTTTTGCCGTGACTCGAGAGCGATTACGGATTCACCAGAAACGTTTCTACGAATCTTACGAATTCAGTTTAACATCGGCGGGATGTAGTTATGCTGAAGGGGTCGTTGTCGTATCAGGTACTACATTATATGTACCCGAGGTACGTATATGTATACAC